TAAATCTAGACATCCCTGGATATTTTATAAAGATTGTGGTTATTCTGCTGGCAAGGGTCGGATAAATATAAACTGGTTACCGGTGATATGAACCTACTAACTACTTAAGACTCAGTTCGTGGATGAAAAAAATAATGATTTTATTTAAATTTGTACTTAAGTCATTCTTAAGTGCACCATAAACTGTTCGTGGAAGACACCCAGGCCTTTTATGAAGGTATGTTAAGATCTATTTAAGTATCAAAGAACGTCTCTGCTCAAGGTGACAAACTTTTTTGTTGCCCATAATTTGACCTCGTTGCTATCGTATTAAAGGTTTAATTTTGTTATTACTATTAACTGCAACGTCAGAGAGCCGGAAGGTGTTGTAGATAAAGATTATTGGACAGATCCAGGGTTCATATAAAGATTATACCAAATTTGATCTGCGAGGCTGTCCAGTATCCAGTTGTCAAAATCCAGTTTTTGTAGTGATTTAGCTGCTGTTTGGTGGAACTGTCAACTAAATGGGAGCTTTTAAAAGGTTTATGATTAAAAAGGGGAGGGCGAACAATATTGACAGAAATGAGAATTTTAGCCGTAGTTCATCTCATCTTCTCTGTGGTATGGCCCGGTGGCCTGTTTAGAAAGTATAATAGAATTATAGACTATGGATAGCATAACTTGCAAGCAGATAAAGCATAGTTAAGTTAGGTATGTAGGTAAGATATGTCATATGGAGGTCACGTCCCTTGGGGTTATATATATATTATTTAGTATTGATATAATATTATAGTATATAGTATTGATATATTATAGTATATATAATATGTATATAATATAATATATATATATATGGGCAATTTCATGAAACATGAACAAGGAGGGAAAAAAATAAATTTCAGTTATGGCACTAGCTTTGATTGGAGTCTGAAAGAGAAGATTATAAACTGTTAGACACAAAAAACCGCTTATAAATATCTCACTTCGTTTCTGTGTTATCGCGTTTTCAAAATACCCATAAATTGTCATGTTTTACAGGCTAAAACTCTATAATAAAAGCTGTTTACTAAAAAGAGATTGTTGTAATATTCATTAATTCTTGATCTGTAAAGGTGCATACCACTTCACTGAAGCTGTATGCAAAATTTGGGACTCAAAATTTAAGCAGATTCGGAGCAATGCTATTCTACTTTCTCCTGTTTTTAGTGTAAATTACTATACATAAAAAACAAAAAAGTTTTCTGCTGGCCACATTTCATGTTATTTCTTGCTGAAATCTTGCTAAAACAAGCTTACTCTGATGTCAAGACATAATGTACTTGTTTATTTAGATCCATAGATCATATCAGATCATGTCAATACCAGCGTCAAGTAAGTTACATGTCAAGTAATTTACGTGTCAAGTAATTTACACATATGCTTTTTATTCAGTAATAGTAGTGAAACACAACAAGTAACGATTGTCAAACAGAATAAAAGTTATTTAAAAGTGATAATAGATTGGTTCTGGTCAGAATTTCATTAAAGAAATCTATAACAAGAATTGCGCCCGTTTGTTCGGCTGTCGGCGGACGCTAGATTTCCATCCACTTGCACCAATGCTTCAAATTTAATCATGCCTTGGCCTTCAATTAATTGTTCGTTTTGTGTGTCACGTGAATTGGCTTAATCGACAAGCTGAATTGTGAATAGTTACATTAAACCAAAATAAAAGTTGATCGTTGTAGTTGTACCTCAGCTCAGAAGGTCAGTCAATGCAATTAGAGTGGGCCGGACCAGCTTAATGTAATTGTTGATTAGCTCAAGTTTGGAGGTGCCGCGAGTTTAGTTGTCTGTGGATGTTAAAGGAATAAAATACTTGTGCCGCTAAAGCTCCCCGCACGAAGAATGTTCTCGTGAAGGTGTAGAATGAGCTGACACCGTAGTCAGAGTGCTTGTAAACGAACGTCAGTCGATTGAATAATAACCAAATGTGTACATTATGACAAAAATAATATTGCACATTAACCAAACTCCTCGAGGTAAAATCTATTGTAGGCAATAGTACTTGGTTTCCAAAGTAACACAATACCATACAAAACATATCAAAACATTCCAAGAAAAACCCTGTAACAGCAACATTTACCTCATCAAAACAAATATCATATTTTATTATATTATCCGGTGCCAAGTCGGTGGAACATCCCAGTAGAAATAAAATGATTAACAACTTGTACTTCATCAATTAAGATTAAAGGTTCGTAAATTGCAATTGAAAAGAATGGAAACGTAACTTTAAGTGTAATTAGCAGAAAGACTGAATTTTGTCGCGCGATCATTTATCTACATTAACGTGACGTCACGCGAGGCAGAATCCTAAGTAGACCCCTCGTCTGTAGGAAGCACAATGCATCAGTGATTAATTTTTGTGCGCGCGCGCAGCTTTTCCGTTGACATGGTTACTAACGAAAGGACGGACGACATATTCATACCTACCTACCGCAATCTCCAAAATCCACGTTTTTCTGCAAAAACCTCCATTCGTAACCTTCCACTTTATATTTTTTCAAAATGGTGGATGGAAAAAATGGTTTAAAATGGTTGAAAATTGACTTTTCGAAAATATAATATAAATAATACTTTACTTTACAGAAAATCCAGTGGCCTGCTTGAACACAAATTTTTGAGCTGGGAAACATTCGTACATTTACGCCCACCTACCTAGCCTACTCTGTATAACTGGGCTAACTGTGGACCCAATCAGTGGATCAATCAACCAATTAAGGGGGCCGGGGGGTCTTCATCAAAATTCCCTCGAAATTGACTTTTTAGTTGTTTCTGATAGAAGGGAGTGATATCTATCAGATGCTTTTGGTCCCATGGAAAAATATTATTCCTAGCCGAAATTATTGTCGGTCAAAGATCGGCACTTATGTGTAATTGTATTGCGCGAGCGATTTTCAATCACGTGTCCTGAAAATCGAGTCTAAAAATCTATCTTCTCCTACATGTTTTGAGCAATCACCTTGAAACTTTCAGGATATGTTCTCGAGATAATTTAAAAGAGATGAGCCAAACAGAATTTTGAGATAGGCCTTTAAACATATTTTATTCGATTTTGAAAATCTTGAACCTCGTTTTTTGACGATTTTTTGAGGTCCAAGATTTTCAAAAATTGAAAATCGCTCGCGCAATACAATTACACATAAGCGCTGACATTTGACCGATAATAATTTCGTCTAGGAACAATATTTTTCCATGGGACCAAAAGCATCTGATAGATATCACTCCCCTCTATTAGAAACAACTATAAAGTCAATTTCGAGAAAATTTTTTATGAAGGCCCCCCGGCCTCCTTAATTGGCTAATGATAAACTGTTATATCATTATTAATCATATATTACATAGTTCATACACTTAGCAAACGAATTAAAGACAAAGGGGCAGCTTTAAACAGTTAAAATCAAAGGATTGTGTAACAGTGTAAACTACTTGACACAAAAGAGTAACTTACTTTAGAAGGAACAAAGGCTTCTACAGAACACAGCTATTAACCATTTACCAAAACAAACCCTTTCCAGTACAGGCAAGACATTTGCCAGTGTGCATGAAAAATATTTAAATGTTTACTCTCACACCTGGGCACGAAATGAGATTTCAATACACGTTGGTCAGGAATGTCAATTTGTGCCCTGTAATTTACTTTACATTTTCAAACGAGCCTCACTCAAAAGCCATAGCAGTTGGAGTAAAAATCTTAATATAGCTGTGTGTGGAGTACATAAGAGATGTTTCATGCAATTTATCATGATTCTGTTATGTTTGTGTAATGCTTGAGAGCCAGAATAAGGCCAAATTTTTGTGCAAAGTGTAATTTACTTTACGTGAAATCGCCCATATAATATATATATAATAGTATTATATATATATATTATATAGTATTGAAATCGAAATAAATTAGGTATAATCATCAAACTTTAATACTTCCAACATCAATACGGTCTATACCGTAGTGGTAAATAATTTGAGCAAACGATCAAAAGTCGATGGACCTATGCGCCTGAATTTTGGTACTCTGTACCCATTATATAATAATTATAAACGGACCCAACATTAATAAGTACTTGCATCCTTATAATATATACAGGTATATAAGAGGCCAGGTAATATGAGTTATATTACCTGGCCTCTTATATTACCCCTTATATTACAAGTGATCGCGATTCTTATTATAGGTAATCACATATATAAGAAATATTGCGTGATAGCCTCCTCCTTCTGACTATATCATATAGAAATATAGGACACAATCATCATGCTTACTGGATCACTCTTCTAAAGGAACGGGGGTTTTCATTAAATTAAATAAGGTATTAGTAACTAATATAAATTTAATAAGGTATTAGTAACAAATATATGCAATCTCATAAGTCATACCATAAACTAAAAAGAGACAGCTTGAGAAAAGAAGATATTTCAAGATAAGTGTCTTATTTCATAACTACAAAGCCCGTTGTCACAAGGAGAAAGCTAATAGTTATAGTATTCTTTGCTTATACAAAAAATATTCTTCCTTATATCAATAATAGGCAGTTAATATTAAAAGCAATTTAAAGCATCGATTGCAAAATTGCGAAAATGGCGTGAACTTCGTTCAGAAATAATTTCCACAGAACAGCAAAAGCAGAAATGAATAGTATAATACAGTTAATATTATTAAGTCAAAACAATGATGAACTTAGTGTCCACGATTCCTATTTTATCTCCAAGTCTGTTTATTTTCTGGTAAAAATGTCTCTTCAATAATAATGTCCATTTTCTGTAATATATTATGTAGAAAAAATTACGCCAACAATGTCTCATTAAGGTCCAGTAACTAGAGAATGGCTCCGTGAATAAAATTGTAATTTTTGTTTATTCATAGGACAATGAAATTCGTGGATGCGTTGACTTATTTTAAATTTTTAAGACTCTGCAGCCACACTGCACACAATCAAGCAAGGGTGGTAATATTAATACTTAACTCTGTTGCATTTCAGGAGAAAACAGATGCGGGTTGGTTCCAGTTTAATTGCGTACTAACTGTGCAAGGGTTTAGTTTCGAGAGCACGTGTACCAGCAAGAAAGGAGCAAGAAATAAGGTACAAACTAAAAACATGGATAAGACTCTTGTAAATAATTCGTCCTGTTACTAAATATGTAAATATAGACGCACTTATAGGTCTTGTCACTATATCATAGTGCAACTATTAAATACTAATAAATACTAATAAATAGTGCGGCTACCTTTACCATCGATAATATTATTTTCCGATAGAATTAGCTAATTTATATATTTAATTTATTTTATTGATGTATTAAACTATCAGGCTGTAGATTTAGCTCATGCAGAGTTCACTGTTCACCCTCCCCCAGTGGTGAACGAGAAAAAGAGGAAATTACCTAATAATAAACGTTCTGGTAAGCGATTTTTATTATTTTTTAACTCAGTGATAGTTATTTGATTGATTATTTTAAATTATAAATTGATTAATGTCCATGTACTGTATGATTGATAGTTATTGTTAGATTAATAACGATAGTCAGAAAATAACATGGGAGGATGAGGAAACGCTTCCAATCCCACAAAACGAAACGAAACACAGTATTTACTACCCCGCTCCTATGCGGCATAGATATATTTAACTTATCTAACATAACTCTCCTTCAGACATAAGTTAGACTGCTAATCGGTATAATTTAGTTACAGTTTTTTATCCTTGTCTAAATCATAACTTGGTAAAATGTCAGTGGACTCGAGGGTTGTTAAGATGTAGGAGTTCTTATGAACTTTTCAGTTAAAGCATTTAATAAGCCCCTTGCTGGCTTGGTGAGTCACCTCTCCAACAGAAATAAGTATAACTTTAATAATGTAAATTTAAACGAACCATTTAAATGTGGCAAGGAACTTCGGGACAAGTTTACGTTTGGTTGCAAGTTATATTTCTACTTCTAAAATAAAATTACGTTAGTAGAGCCCTACAGCACATGATTTAATAAACTACGGTAAGTTACTTTAAAATGGAATATTTAGACGCTCCCCATATTTAAAGTCTAGCGCAATCGCATAAAACATTAACCGAAATAGCTGCTCTGATAATGTACACCACCACTAATTTTGCTACATTAACGCACTAACTCAGAGTGGCAACAGTCGAGGCTTTGCTAGTGGGCTAGCCACCCCAAACAGCATTAACTAGAACTTTCTAATCTTTACCCAATTGCACGTGGGCGAACATACATAAATACGGAAAACGGCATACTCTAGTAGCAGGGAGGAATTGAGTGTGCACTTCGATGTACAGAGTTTTTTGCTGCTGAATCGGGTTAAATAGGCCATTGGTAACTCAAATCACCGAGGGGCAAATATTGTCTCGCTAGTCCCAACCCTGTGGAGCCACGCCCATATTTCATATTAGGCGCTTATTTGGGAAATTCCTATCTCAGCTTCTGAAGTGCTTAGAGACTTGAAGTTGGGCTTAAAATGACCGCAATACACATGTTTATATTAGCACTATGAAGGTATTAAAGCTCTCAGGGACTTACTTTTTGAGAAAAATGAAAAAAACTAATTTTCACTGGGGCGCGATGAGGATGACATGCTTTAAGCTACTAAAATTCATAAAGTTGAGTACATAATATTGTGAAAAGAAACCAATGTGCTGATTTAATCTGCCAGAAGAGCAACAACATTAACAAAAGCTTACAAATGAAAATAACTGATTAACTGAAACACACACATCTTTTAGGAACTTTTACAAAGAGACATTATCTGCCCATATAACTCAAAATAAGTTCAATCTCCTATTCCACATTATTGATTGGGTTTTTGCACATTTCACCACATTTGCAATAATTAGAGCATGCATATTGTTTCTGTCTGCATGGGCAGGTGATCCTGACACAGGATTTACATTTACATGGTTCAGGTATATCAATTGGTCTTTGTGGAGGCACAAACCAAGTGGGAGATAAGTTGATGTCGTATCCGTATTCTGTAACATCAAGGATTTTAGATGCATCCCCTGTTGCAGCTTCGAGCCACAACCTTGCTTGGAAGTATGCCCTTCGAATATGCTGCCTTATTTCATTAGACGAGCATGGAAGATCCACAAACCTTACGTTTCTTGTTTGCTGCCGCATTCTTAGTCTAAGTTCGTCAAAAGTTGCACAGTTCATGAATGCCTTGTTAGCTACAACTTTCACTAAAAATTGTTCTGCCTTTTCAAACATGTCCTCGTCAAGTACATCCAATCCAAAATCCGTAATGAAATGGCTGTACTGCTTAAGAGCTTTCAACAAAGCCAACTTTGTGCCAACTTTTGAGACAGTGTCACAACCTGTCAATGCGTGTCCTGCTGGCAGGCTTCTCACTAGACTAGAATCGACTTTGCTCAGTAGCAAGTGTAAAGGATGTAATTCTTTTTGCTGTATTGTCTTTACTTTAAAATCACCCTTTCTGAGCAAGTAAAGATTAAGACCATGCCATGCACTTTGGAGATAGTAAAGAAGGTTTACGAAAATGTCTGTGTCAGGTGACACAACAGAGACACAGCAACTTTCTGTTGACAAAGCATGAATCTTACTGATCGAAAACATAATACGATCATCAGCCTCTTCGTGAGATGCCCTAAATTCTATCGCTTCATTTATAACACCATCTGAAATCACTGTGCATTTATCTGGGTCCGATTTTATGCCTCCTGCCAAGTATAGTGGTTTTTCTGATGTGTAGTGAGAAGAGCAATATTCTACAAAAAAGTTCTGATAACTGATTTTGTTGGACTGTCTGTCAAAGAAATCATCCAAAGGAGATGGTAAGGACTGTTCCTCGGACACCACCTCACAAACAGCACCTACATTCAAATTGCCGTCTTTGGTTGCCCTGGTTACTCGTGCTGCTCCTTTGATAGACATGTCTTTATAGTTTTCTAGAATAAGATGTATCTGCTCACTTTGCTGCCCATATGAAGTCACGTTATTCATAATTTTCTCACAGAACGAGCCGAAGGTTTTGACACCTGTTAACTTGACTGATGTCCATTTCCTGATAATCGCCATAAAATCAATTACAACTGCTGTCGTTTTTACATGAGGTAACTGATTGGTCTCGTTAACCACAATCGATTCCTTGTCAAGTAATTGTAACAATTGTTTGGCAAGATCTGATTTGGGGGCTTTCTTTTGCTTCAGTGAATCTTTCTCTAGTAGATAAACTGGACGTGAAGTTAAAGGATAAATGATCAGTTCCTCCAATCCCCATCCCCTGGATGCTGCATACTCGATAAAGTTCACTGCAGATGTATTTAGTTGGTCGTCTGTGAGCACCTTAACCTTCTTCTCTTTAGCCATTACATTGGATTCAATGGACATATAAGAAGACTGATACTTGAAGCTTATGGAGGCATGCAAGCTCTTGCTTTTATCAAATAAACGGTCTTGGACGAATTCGCCATAGTTTGCTCGTCCAAATTCGACACAGTCTAGTAGGTATTCTCGATTCGCCACGACTTCACGACTTGTCAGATTAATCAGCTGATCAGGGCTATCAAATTTAAACGGATTGCCAACAGTTTTGATGTTAGCAACCAGTTTATCTGCTCGGGACTTACCCTTCTCTGCTGACTTTGGATTGAACTCGTGGTGGAGATTGTTCAGCTCTCCCTGGTGTTCACCAATGCTTGCTGTTTCTTTCAGGAAAGAGACGAACAAGTCTTTGTGATGTTTGATGATATTCCAGAGAGCCACTGTTTCTTTCTGACGAGTTGATCCAATGATACCACCAGATGCCTTAGCCGTGAAATTGTATGCCTTTTCAAGGGCCTGGTCAAATCCTATTGCACTTCCTTTGCGCTCTGATAAGTAACAGACAAAGTTCCCGTCTTTGAAGTGCTTGTGTAGGGCTGGGAATTTTCTCTGTATATCCAAACAATCTTGATAAAAGAGGGCTCCATATCTACTGTAATTTGGCTTTCCTGTGCCAAAGAAGATTCCTAAGCTCCTTTCCACTGCAGAGAGAAACAGCTCCCAGTTTCCAGTCCGGACGGATACCTCAAAGTCTCTTGCACATGGGAACATGTCTCTCAGAAAAATTTCCCAGTAGAGAAAGTTTTCATTTCCGCTATTAGATCCTTTAAACTGAAGAAATGCCTTGTGTAGTCTGTCCAATGAAACCTTGTAACTTTCCCAACAGCTTTCAAAGTCGTTTTCGTCAGAGTTATCATAGACTTTTTTTAATACTTGTTCAATGTCAAACTCTATATCGTCAAGATTAATTTCCTCCTTGCATAAAATAAATTCATCGCTTTCGAGAAAAGCTTCATATTGGAGGCGTAAAATAGACTCCGCAATCATATTAATGCCGTCTTTTGCTTTGATGTAATCACCTCCTTTCAGAACACTTGACAGTGCAACATCAGCTGCAAAGACTCCACACTTTTTGAGGGCTTCTCCAATTCCTGAGGGAATTAGCCACTTTCCGATTGCACCCATGATTATCTTACTCCAATGGAACGGGCCAAGACCTAAAAATATTGACCCGAAAACTTCCGGTTTTAGTAGTTGTATGTCTTTTGCGAGACAGTACACCCCTTCATCACACCATAGTGCTCCAGAAGTTTCGCCTCTCTGATGCAGCACATCTTTGAAATTCATCATAGAAGTGTAGATGCTGTCCATTAAGGTTGCGGGATATGGCAGTATCGGGATAAATGATTTCGCTGTCATCATCCTAACTTCCCTAGATGTTAGTTTACTGAGCAAAGCAGTAAAATTGGGAATATCATTTGCACCTTTGAGTCTGGAAACAAACCATGCAAAGAAATCGTCGTTCACTTCAGTCAACATTGAGTACTTGTGTATGTGATCAGTTATTGGCGAGAACTCCTCGTTTATTTCTCCTGAATTTTTAGCAAGCTGCGACGTCATTAGCTGCTGGCAAGGTAATGTGTGCTGCAAACTCCGCTTTCTGTCCACAGCGTATTTGGTCGTGTCACGCTTACTCATAGTCCTTGGTTCCATATCTTCATCTTTTCCATTTGCATTCTGCCATATGACAAGAACGGTGTCGTTGCTGACATCTCCTCCTCTATCAGTTCTTTCTCTGTGGTTGAAATTATCCACAGCTCCTTGGATTGGAATTCCACGTTTTATGGAATCATTGACTGGGCATCGATCCTTCCCCGCAGTATCGATATCTGTCTGAGCCATTTCAATATCGTCTCTCTTCATTGAATCGTAGCCTGTTCCAAAGCCGAACCTGTTGATGATATCAATAAGTTCTCTTGACTTAGTCAGACAGTGAACAGCTTGTGTTATGCCACAATGCATCGGTGTCTTAAGACCAGAGATCCAACAAGAAAAGAACTGAAATGATGCATCAAATTTCAGAAACCACGAATCTCCCTGCGTCACTTTTCTGCCAGAGAAAAGTTTTAAGATAAACTTAAACCATTGAGGCGGTCTTGCATCTTTGAATCGCTCTAAAGATATAGCCAGATCACTAGGCAAGCACAGACTGTCCTCCAATTCAAACTTGTATGAACTGATCTCAGCTGACAAGATTTTTGCACATTCCGTAATTGCATCACGATCTCTAAGGTTATGTTCAATAATTCCAGATACTGGAACTGATGACTTGAACACTATCTGAGACACAGATCTGTCTTTAGGATAGGAAAATGATATATCATCTCCAAAGTATTTAATTAGATTGAATTTTGTAGCTCGATTATTGAAATTAAGATCTAGAACATTGTTTATACTGTCTGTGATATCAGTCAGCTTGTAAGCTTGAGTTTGGAAATCAAGCTTTTCGAATACCTCCTTCAATCCGTCGTCGTGAATATTCTCTTCACTTTCTCTAAGAAAATTGTTCATAAGTTTTTCAACCTGTCTCTCATAAGAAAGCAGGTATGAGCACATGCATGCACTGTGATAGTAAATGTCAGCTGCAAGGATGTCACCTATGGATTGGCAATAAATATATTGCCTGTAGAGATGATCTTCGTTAAAGGCCATTGCACTCAAAAATTTTGAAGCCCGTGTGGTTCCCATTTTCATCTCGGAAACTCTGTATAGATGTGAGGTTTGATTTGGCCATGATCCTGCTTGATGCTTTTGGCAGATGGAACATTTTGTTGCTTTTGATCTTTTACTCAGTTGGTCAGGTATCTCTCCGCTTGCTGATCTAGATCTGGTGCTTTCACGTTTTCTCTTTGTAGTTTCACAGGAACTTCCTTCTTCTTCTGGAGATTGATCTTTCGGTGTTGATTTTGGTTTAAATCGTTTGGTTGTTCTCATATAATTCTTAAAACACTGCTTTGGACTTTTCATTTTATTGGACTTAGACTGGTTGTGGAAGCGAAAAGTGTCAGGACATTTAGCAATGTTGTTTAGAACTTTACTATCTCCCATTTTTATGGCAGCTTCGTATACTAGCTTTCGTTTATCGTCATCTCCTGTAGAATTAAGTATCGTCACGTTTTAAAACAGTAGTAAAGCTCAATACTACTTTTAAGTTACTCTGTTAGTAACAAACATAGATCAATTAAACGTGATTCGATTCGTATTTAACTAAAATGTAACTATCTTTACTATAATTTTACTGTAAGAATTTAGTAAATTTATTTTACCTCGTAAATCACGCTCTGGATATTTTTCTTCTTTTTCACATAAAACACATACTCGGTTTGCATTCGTGCCTTCTGCAACTTTTGCTCTTTCTTTTAAGAGGCTTATTCCTTTGAATTTGGATTCAGGACCCGTTTCACTAATCTAAAAAATAATGACATTGAAGGACACATTTTTCGTTACAAAATCCGAATAGCACGAATGAGTAAATTATAGGAGTCTAAAAGCTACGTCATAGTGATTTAATTAATTTCAGAATAGAATTTTTGAAATGGTTAGCCTACTCAACTGATTAGGTAATTAATGAAGACTGTTTTAACCTACATTTATTCCTGATGGTCCTGGAATTTCATCGTCAACAGGAGGTGGAGAAGACACTCTGGGAACAGCATCTTCTGATATACTAATCTCTAGGTCCTAAATTTATTAGACCCATCATCACGAAGTAATTAAATACAAAAATATCATATTCACGAAAGAGATATTCATAGTAAGTGCAATACTGAACTTAATATTTGAGGAAATTCGAAATAACTGAGTCGACCATCAAACTTACACCATCTAAAGCATTGATTGAAACACGATGATATGTCACCCTCCTAGCACTCTGCCTTCTCAAAAGCCACTGTTTGCGTGACCACAATATCAACACAAAACAACCTGAAAGTCGATGCTCTTAGCTCTTCGATATTGCTTTATTATACAAACTGCGTAGATAGCAATAACTTATCAATAAATACACTGATGATTATAGGAACTAACTTCAAGCAACAATATAATCGCTAAAGTAACGTCTGAAACTTACCAAGTATCACACAAAGACCCCAAAGAGTAACAACTGGAATGACAACAAACCAAGCATTCATATTCACGACAAGGTTTCACTGCTGAACCAAGAAGTAGGCGAAATTGGTACACGTTTCAAAATAACTGTCTAGTACTGTTGAGAATTCCAGAGGCAGGGTATCCAGTTACGTAGGTTAATCTCAAAGGTTGTGAAAGATAACTCAAAAATTGTAATTTAGTAGTAAGCACGGTACAATCAAGAAACAATGTTTCACAGTGGAATATAATACGACAGCAACAAAGTAGGTATTTCTACTTTGTATTACAAAAGCGCTAATTATACCTGTTTCAAAAGCATCCTGTCTGGAAGTTCCCTCACTGCCGTGTGAATCTTTGGATCTATTTTGGACCTATTTTTATATTGATATGATTTTTATATACCTATATATTCATCGCATAATTTCCATGTACGCCTGAACAAACCTGGCACCATCAAATCTTACATGGAAACCCCAGAACTATTTAAAATATAAATAAATATTTAACTTTCACAATATTATATACTCAACTTCGTGAATTTTAGTAGCTTAAAGCCTGGCATTGCCATCGCGCCTCAGTGAAAATTTAGTTTTTTTCATTTTTCTCAAAAACTAAGTCCCTAAAGGCTTTGATACCTTCATAGTGCTAATATAAACATGTGTATTGCGGTCATTTTAAGCCCAATTTCAAGTCTCTTAGCACTTCAGAAGCTGAGATAGGAATTTTCCCCATACGCGCCTGATATGAAATATGGGCGTGGCTCCACAGGGTTGGGACTAGCGAGACAATATTTGCCCCTCGGTGATTTGAGTTTCAGTTACCAATGGCCTATTTAACCCGATTCAGCAGCAAAAAACTCTGTACATCGAAGTGCACACTCAATTCCTCCCTGCTACTAGAGTAGCACCTTTGAATTATAATAGAGATTACAAAGCCTGTGGTCACAAGGAGAAAGCTAATTAACGTACCTATATAGAAATACAGTAGTATTATTTAATAGTCAGTTTTATCGCAGTAAATATCCAAAACCGTGGGTATGGCTGACTCTTATAGATACATAAAACAGACTAAACACAACGTAATCACAGAAACGGTCATTATGTCGTTCTAATTATCTTGCACGTGGGCGGTCATACAGAAAACAAACACATTTGAATTATAAGGTGTTTGTTATGATAATAAATACAAATAACATCTTGTCAGAAATAGAACATGTTGCTAATAGTAATAATATAGACAAGCTAAGTATTTGACAAGCATGAGACACGAACTGAAACCCAAGACAGGTTATTTAGTCACATACAGACAGCCACTCAACCACTGACAAGGTAGCCGTTATGAATGAGTAAAGCTCCAAACTGACATAGGTAAAAGCAGTTATTAAACCGCCACTCTCGGTATACTCCATCAGCTGTCTGAGAGGACGCCAAAACCTCTTAGCAAAATCATGGTATTCCCTCGTAACTCAAAACGTATAAATAGCAGGAACTAACTCATTACTCATATCCTTCTTACCAGCTGAAGGCGAAGAACCGATTGAACCAGTAGAATTCCAAGATAAACTAGCTGAAAAATGTTGGAAGTTTGTCTCGGAGCAGACGGAGGCAATCATTCCTGCCCTGAAAACTCGGAGGAACCTGGTGGTTGTTGTGAAGGTTTGTGTAATGGTTGTTGTCATGTGACCCCGGTGCCTGACGTCATGGCGACGCAGACTCACTGCGATCTCGTGTTGCCTGGGCGACTGAGGACCTCCATCGGGTTTTCGACCTCTATTACACAAAATTTAAATCTAAATCGTATCGCAAGGCAGGGTGTACCTATATATTAAGAGTCGATATTTTATTCAAGTTAGTGCTACGTTCATTTGGTAGCCATGGTAACATTGTTACTGTGTTACCATAGTGTCCGTACTGATGTGTTACTAATCACGGTACTGTGACACTATGATAACTATCACGTCTCATTAGAGACTTATCAAAGGACACCCTGCACTGCGATAAACAAACAATCTTCTTGAAATAAACCGTCACATCGTAACAGGTTGAAGGGAAAGATGAGCTAGAGAGCTGTGAAATCGTTTCATTTGGTAGTGGAACTCTGCTGATAAAGAAAGAGAACATGACATGTGACGGAACTGTTATAAACGACAGCACAGGAGAGAGTCTCGCACTCAGAGCATTCAGAAGGTATTCAGCTTCGACACGACTATAGCAACGTTTAATGAAGCTTGAACGCTAGTTTTCTCATGTTTTATTATAAGGGAGTCACTTCACTGGATTTTTATATTGGATTCACATTAAAGTGACTCCGATGAAATCACTAAAAAGGGATCATAAAAAGGATATATGCCGTTATAGATGATTATGTTTTGTTGTACAATTGATGTTTGCAAATGTGCACCAATCGGACCACAGTAATTCGCGAACATAAAGCTGCATCCACTCATATCGGTCAAGGGTACCACAGGCAACACCTTAACTAACAAATCACGGCCAAATTAATGAATTAAATGAACAAAATTACTTTACATATTGGTGTGGTTTTTGACTAGTTTGATAATGAATAATCTCTTAATTGAATGTTTTAATCAGATACCTGCTGGACCAAGTAGAAATGTGCCTGACCGGGAAAACGTCCATTTACACCAAGGATAGGACTGGTGGAAAATGTTCTGTAAGTTTTTAGTTACTTATTAATTCTCCTTTGTTCTATTCTATTATATAGAATATCTATGTTCTAAAAAAAGATCGTTCATAACCGGAGTTATAGCTTAACATAGTAAATATCATATTATGAACAAAGTCTAGCGGCACTTGCCTGGGCCCAATTGAAAATGAACCGCAAACAATGTGTTCATAATATTATGTCAAGAGGAATATGACAGTTATCAGCTGCCTCTTACCACATCAAAAGCTATCCCTCATAGCCTGTGATAGATCCAAAACCTTTCTCATTATGTTACTAAAACGATAGGCACTTGCCAGGGCGGCCCTGGAAGGCCCCTTATAGAATTAAACGTCAAATAATGCAATAACTCAATAAAGAAAAATGATATGCTATCAACTGTTTTTCCTAGCCCGAGTAGAGATATCGTCAATGAAAATGAGTTAGTAATATTAGTTAGTAATTAGTAATACGAGGTAGCTCGGGATTCGCATTGCAAATTAACACAGACTGGGAAGCCAGAATCCTGGAACTGAGGTACTCATAATTATTTTCTGTAGTTGTGGAACATGTTAATATAATGACTTTCTGATATCAAGATCCTATCACACGTTTGATCGTAATGCAGTGACAGTTACTCAGTAATACTTAAAACTTTAAAAGTGTTAAAAAACAAGAGAGATTCATCGATTTTCTTTGGTCAATTCTTTGGCTTTAAAACTATTTATTGTTTATAGGACACTAATGATTGGCTTGAAACGATTACACGGTATCGTTCGAGAGATTTATCTATTTAATTCGGCTCGATTTAATTCGGCTCGACTTCTCCGGCTGGAGTTACTTCGGGTCATTCGGCCACCTTCCGGTAGCCAGCATGTGAATTTATTTACGAAAATTAAGTGAATGCTAATTCGCCACGGCTCACGTTTGACCCACTACTAACTGATACCCTTTTAAAAACCAGGCTCCACTAACAGCTCAAGTAGTTTTGTCATTGGGGGAGGGGGGGGGGGGACAACATAAAAATAACTTCTCTTAATTCTTAGATAAATGTAAAACTTGTTGTCAAGTATTTAAACGAGGCGTGGTCGCAGGACCTTCTACTCGATAATGTGAAGGATAATCTGTTGGAATACTGAACTCGGCTACTGAGCTTTACAGCTGTCACGCTAACCTGCTAACCTGTCGGCTGTCAGCGATTATTGACAGCAACCTTGGAGCATTATTAATAAAATGAGCTTTCGGCGGGGCAAATCACAATTTCCTTTATGTAGGTTAAATAACCGCCAAATTAGGATTTATGAACGGTCGTCGGTCAAGGAGTTGGAGGGTGCTCAGTACTAAATTCTATTGTATTTATAAAGCAATGAAAGGCATTAGTCTGGTCAAATCAAACGGAACATATGCTATCAGACTTTCAACTGACTAAGGCAGGGTTAAGACAATCTCGACGCTAGCAACGATCCCCTTTTACATAGTTCCACTAAAATGATAATTTAAGATTAAATATGTATAGTAATAGGTAAATAAAGTAAAAAATGTAATAAAACGGTAGGGATAAAGTATATTGAAACGTAGTCAACACGTCATAAAACGAACTGACCCAATAATTAAACTAATAGATCTCCCGCGTAATCTCCCGCGCAATTCTAAGACTCCGATTTGCGCCGTTGCAAAGTTATTATAAACTAAATTCAACACGTGCAACAAATATATCGCAACAATAGAAATAGATGCCATTAGGTCAAGCTATGGCATTAATATATTTCCACACCCAATACCAAACTTATTCTTTAGCCCATGCCTCTTTACCACAGATAAGTATATTTTACTAAGACGATCCCGTCTAAAACCCAACTCAATTAAATCATCAGTAAATTTCAAAACCCTATCAGAAAAAGCAACAACGTTATTACAAATCCTAGAATATCTCACAATCTGTGAACAGTACGTGTAGTACAGTCAAATCCGTCCTAATTTAAGCCTTTGTCGGACAAAATTCGCAACAAAGCGATTTTAACGGGATATGGTCGGGACAGGTCCCAGGAATCATTCCAGAGAGTTCCCAAAATCCTCGACTTCAGGAAAATCCACAATTACCACTTTTTTACCACCTTTTTACCACTTTGGTTTTCTGCAAATAAGTCACGTTCTGAATATCCTAGAAGATTCTAGTTTAAAGCATTGTGTTTAGAAAACAAAGAAGAACAACTTTTCCTTTAACAACTTTTTCAAAAATAAATTATTTAATTAATAAATTAAATAATTAATAAAATAGTGCCATATAATACACTACTAGCTTGATTACTCATCAAAGGTTGAAACTTAACCACTTTAAAACCAAACTTATCCCTTTTATCATAAACTCTACAAGAAAACTTCCCCTCTCTATTTATCGAAATATCAAGATCTAATACATTGGCGGCACTATCTACTTCATTTTCCTTATTAAGAGTAAGTGAGTCTGGATATATTAACTTAAAATATTCCTCTAAGTAACCATCAGAGTTAAGGGTAGTAATATCATCTATAAGTCTAAATGTATTATTTAACTTCTTTACAATATAGTATCTATTTTTATACGTACTATCTAGGAAACTGTTCTCAAAATACCAAAGTGTTAAGTTAGCAATATATGGACCAGGGTTGATTCCAATAGGTACACCGATATGTTGCCGATATAAGATCTCTCCTACTTTAAAGTAACAATTATCCAGTAGAAACTCAACACATTTAATCAACTTAACTTCATCAAAAGCCACAGTCCCATCTCTAAAGCTATTAACCCAAGCAGACCCTTTATCGTAAACAGCTATAAACTTCTTCCTACTATTCCTAAAGGCTAATTTAACAGTAAACTTGAGAGCATCCTTGATATCTTTATGGGCTAAATTCGTGTATAAAGTAGAAAAATCAAAAGTTTGGATGTTTCTCGCTAAGCTATTATCATTAATTTTATCTAAAGCTTCTAAAATCGGCTTATTATTCAAAATGACCCAATTCTTATTAACTCCTGTTACTTTAAACAACATGTTAGTATATCGGCAGATCTCTGAATAAACAGCCTTTAAGGCTAAAGAAATCTTTACTGCCAAGGGCTTAATACTACAATTAGCATAAGAAATAACATACCTAAACTTTAAAATTGGCTTATGAAATTTAGGACTCGAAAACATGTGAGGCAAATTATCAATATTAGAATCTACTTTTATCCCAACGTCTTCTATGAACTTGAAAATATCTCTGTTAATATCACGAACATCATGCTCCCCACTAACATCATCAATACCCTCATTAGATTGACACTCTTGTATAATATCACTTAAATAATAATGTTTACAAATTATAGCGACGTTCTTAGTTGATTTGTCCACCGGACATAAAACAAAATACTTTCTAATAAACGCTAATTCTTCACAAGCTTTATCATTACTAAACACAGATTTCCTTTTAAGCTGTTTAGGATATTTCATTTTAAGAGCTTCAGTATTCTTCTTAACAATATCACTAAATTCATTAAACCAACCATTTAAACATGCACTATCGATTTTCTCTTTCCTACTCCAAGGTTTTAAGATTTCTTTAACATTATCTATTACCGAATTACAATTCTTATCAAAATCAATCGTTTTAGGTTCTTTATAAGAAGGACCTTTCTCTAACAGACTTCTCAAGGCGTCGTGCTTTACAAAATTAACATCCCCAGTCACAACATGACCACAATCCTGATTTACGAAATCAGTAAACATATGACATTTGCATTCTAAAGGTTCAGTGTCTCCCTTAACAACGTTATTATAATTAAATAACTTCTTAGAAACATTATCAGTACCTTTATATACAACAGTAGGTTCCTTAATGTTACAAAAATTAACAAACGATTTCAAACTAGGAGCTCTAAAAACTCTAGGTAAATTTAACATTTCAATACCATTGTTCACAAAATCAATAGAAAAATGGTAAATGGTAAAATTTTTACCAAGTAAAAAATACGTACAAAAGTTTAATTGACCGTACAAAAAACAAATATCTTGACAAATTGAATACAGATATTGAATCTGGTAAAATTCTTAACTGGAAACAATTCAAAAAACTGAAAAAATTTAAAGGAAGAGTTGACAAATTTGATTGCCATGACATGGACAACTTTCAAAAATTCTTTGGTAAACTTTATGCCAATGCACATAGCACCATAACTGTAGAGAATAAGGAAGAAATGCTTCAAAATGCAGATGCTATTAACAATAATTTCCAACCATCCCCTGCACAATCAATACTCAATGGCCAGATCTCTGTGGACGAAATATCTACTGCGATCTCTTCACTCAAAAACGGCAAAAGTTCCTCGGAGGATATGATATGTAATGAAATACTGAAGACCTTGTCCACAACAAACACACAACTCCTTTGCAAAGTCTTTAACCGCTGTTTGGACACTGGAACTTACCCATGGAACAACAGCATTATTACACCTCTACACAAAAAAGGCGACAAAGATAATCCAGACAATTACAGAGCAGTTGCTGTGAGTAGTACAATCGGAAAACTATTTTCGACCATCATGTTAAACAGGATAATCAAGTTCAAAAATGAATACAACCCGGACCCCATAAATCAACTTGGCTTCGCTAAAGGAGCTCAAACATATGACCACATACTCACACTCAACACCATTACGTCTAAATACAAAAAGCTCAAGGTTCCCGTCTATGCTGTTTTTGTGGACTTCCGGAAGGCCTTCGACTCTGTTTGCCGTGAAGCTCTTTTCTTAAAATTAGCTAAACTAGGTATCACTGGCAAATCATTTAATGTTCTTAAACATATGTATAAAAATTCCACTGGCCAGATAAAACTATCTGGATTTGTCAGCGAAAAATTTGATATCAATAAAGGAACTGAACAGGGTCATCCACTTTCCCCTGATCTATTTAAGATATACATCAGAGATCTTTCCCCTCGACTAGAATATGATAACTGTCCGAAACTAATGAACCAACTTATCAGTCACTTACTATGGGCAGATGATCTGATACTCTTGGCACTGGACCCCAAAACCCTCCAAAAGCAACTCGATGCTTTGAACAATTTCTGCTTGGAATGGGGCGTCGAAATTAATACAGATAAAACTAAACTCATGAAATTTAATGCCCGTTTTGATACTTATCAGCCGGTTCCCCTCAAAATTGGTGATCACTTGTTAGAAGAAGTCGAGTCATACTGCTATCTAGGAATCGAAATACACAAATCCGGCACATTCACAAATGCCCGAACTGAGCTCAAAAAGAAAGCCATGCGTGCACTTTATGCCATGAAAAGCTCAGTAAACAAATCCAAATTATCATTCCGCTCTCTAACAACACTCTTTGATGGTCTTATTAAACCTATCGTTCTTTACGGAGCGCCTATTTACACACCTAACATGGCTATCATAAAACACATAACAAAACAAGTCGATCTCAATATGGATGCCGACACAAAAACAAAATTTCAAACTAGTATCCTCAAGAAAATTAGCCTTCTGAACAGCGAAAAAGTTCACCTTCACTTTCTTAAATGGTCACTGGGGGTAAATCGTAAAGCCAGCAACGCAGGCGTCTGGGGTGAGTCAGGCCGCTACCCATTAATCTATGAATGTATTAACCTCACTCTCAAATATAGCCAACGTTTGAAAAATCTAAAAGATAACTCCCTTGTCTCCTTAGCTTTCAAAGAACAGATGAACATGAAATTGGACTGGTACAGGGGTTTGGAGCCTGTCCTCGCGCTAGACCCATGTTTCTCTACCGATCATGTCACAGCCTACCGCACACTCAAAAACAATCACTCCAAGTTACTTTTCGAAAGAAACCCGAGTATCGCAAAACCACCAAAAGAGGACTTTCTTATTCACAACGGTTTCAAGAAACGAATTCCTCCTCAATCAACACAACCCATCGGGAGTAAAATATTCACACCACACGTCATTACTAAAACTTTGAAATGTAACTTTAGAGAATATTGGGGGTCCTGTATCAACACTTCTCGGAAATTAGAATTCTATCGTGACCTAAAATCCAAATTTAACAAAGAGTATTACCTAGATAGTGTCATTAAATATGCAGACCGTGCTAATATCACAAGACTGCGGATCAGTGCACATCGACTCGAAATTGAACTTGGCCGATATAATCAAACTCCACGTGACGAGCGAATATGCTCCTGGTGCAATATAGTCTTAGGTTCTGGTATTATTGAGAATGAAGACCACTTCCTTAACCATTGTGATCTTAACGCTGCATCGAGGCGAAAAGTCCTAGACAAGATCCAGTCACTCATATCAAATCCAATCAAACCGTCTGCGACATCTTATTCTGTTCACAATGTCATCCCTGGAGCAAACGTCCTCAAATTCATCAGCAACAACAGTGAAATCATTGAACTTATCACGAACGAAAGTCAAGTCCACCTCACGAGAGTCGTTGCTAGGTTTGCCACTACGTGTTTTAACAACCGCAAGAAATTTGTTGACTCTCTGGCCAGTACATGAACAGTGAACACTGAAAATCACTGTACCCGCTTTTGTTTCTTTTCGCGCAACGACGAGTGCAAACTGCAAAGTGACCTGGCTCAAGCATTACAGCATTACCAAGGCGACTGAAAACAAAATATTTTATGTCAAATCTTTATTTTTCACTTTAGTTAAGTTATATTAATATAATAAATTCAAATCTTATGATATTGTTATTATCTTAACAGTTACTATTGTAGCTCAAGATTTTAAATTTGTATTCCTTGTATTCCTTGTATTCCTTGTATAGAACATAAAACTTTAGGCTTACGGACGCTCTTACTTTTATCAGTTCTCGAGTTAAAAGGTCTAATTTTATAAGTGAATAAGTCCATTATAATACAATGTATCTGAGATCTACTAGGGTCTAGGTTATCAATTTGAAAAACTTTATTTAAATAGCTCTCTTTAAGTTTAACTAGTGTAGACTTATTTAAAGGAAACAATAATTTACGTAATAAAATATTAACATCACTGTGAAAAGGTTCAACAACTAAACGTAGTAATTCACCCAAAATATTGTCAATATCAAACTGAGATAAATCGCTTTGCTGTCTATCAGCCCAGGATCTCTTTCGAGAACTATCTTTACAAGAAATAAATTTAGCATATTCACAATTATAACTATCTTTATTTGCTAAACTATCAATCCTATCATTAACCCCATAAGGAAATTGTGTTTTAAGTACTCTGATCCAACGATCTTCATGTCCTTTCCTAATTTTAGAAATACTTTCATCAATAACAAATTTAGTAGAATTAGGACGCTTAACACCAGTTCTCCCCGTACCTGCAAATTTCTGAATAATTTGAACACTAAACGAATTACAATTAATAGATTCTAAAAAATGCTGTCTCAATCTAAAATTTCCCGAATTTCCAGTAGGATTCGTAGTCCCACGGTGTTGAGACATACGATCCTTAAGTTCTTGTACAGTCTCTCCTACATATTGAGAATTACAACATTTACAGCTCAAAAGATAAATAACATTAGTACTTTTACAATTAATAACTTTTTCTTCTCCAACATCAAACTCAAATATACAGCCAAATTTAGTCCCAGATACAGATGACCTAAAGTCCGTACAAAACACCATATCAGCACAGGTTTTACAGCGACGAGAGCAGCGAAGGAAGGACACATCCTGTGACTTAGAAGAAGCAGCAGCAGCAGTAGTAACCATAGACATCAAAACCATCAGAACCAAACCAAAAGACAGGAAGAGAAGCCAGACAACAATGAACCATCCAAATTAACAAACAAATACCAGTCTCCAGAGTTATCCCTCGGCCAGAGAAATCTCTTAAGCACAAGTTCCAACTCCGATGCTTATAAAGCAATGAAAGGCATTAGTTTGGTCAAATCAAACGGAACATATGCTATCAGACTTTCAACTGACTAAGGCAGGGTTAAGACAATCTCGACGCTAGCAACGATCCCCTATTACATAGTTCCACTAAAATGATAATTTAAGATTAAATATGTATAGTAATAGGTAAATAAAGTAAAAAATGTAATAAAACGGTAGGGATAAAGTAGATTGAAACGTAGTCAACACGTCATAAAACGAACTGACCCAATAATTAAACTAATAGATCTCCCGCGTAATCTCCCGCGCTATTATTATATTAATATATCAAATTTGTATATTTTATTAATGAACCTAGTATATCAACTTAAATTTAAATGCCCGTAGATTCGGCCCGTAGAGTCGGCTAGTTACTGGTAAGCATGGTGACCGTATGTAAATTGCGCTCTCCTAATTTAACCAAATTCCCTCAGCTGAAGAAAGCTGTAAAGTTCTACCTGTACACAAACAGCTGTCCTATGGGGGACTGTAGAGCTGTAAATACACAGCCGCTCACTGAACAGATGGAGACTGACACTGAACAGAGCACTGAGCCTACCTCTGAAGTGAATCCTGAACCCATGGAAACGGGGGACTCCTCCGCAAAGCCTCTGAAAACCAAGAACTGGGTGCCAAGGAAGAAGTGTGAGTTGGAGAATTTGGGGAAGATAACATTCTTCCTGGCGAACTCTGAGTTCGGGTCCAGTGAGACGACTGCGCTGTACTCCGAGGAGAAGAGCCATTGTGTTGTGTCTCCTAGGTGAGCTATGAACAGTAATGCTAACAGATAACAATAGTGAAGTCACCTCCTGACTTGGGATTTTAGGGGAGGGTTTCCAACAGTAACGTTTGGGGGGGGGGGGGCCAGGGGGTGTCATGTATTAAATATTTATATTCGGTCCTGGGGGGGGGGGGGGTGTCATAAATTAAATATTTATAATCAGTCCTGGGGGGGGGGGGGGGGGGGGAGGGGGGTGTCATGTATAATTAAATACTTATATTTATATTCGGTCCTTTATATTATTAACAGTCTGAGCCACTGCATTGCTTTTTCAGGTCTTCTCTAACTCGGTAGTAACAAAGGGTTAAAAGACATACCGGTCGGTTCTTTTTAAATATTAGACCGCTCCAGTGAAATGAATCGTATAGCCCTCCACACAGCAAGAGTCTATAATTTCATGCAACAAGTCAATGTTAATTGTTTATTGCAAACCAAATCAGCTACCATAACTAATTATTAAAAAGCATTTAGCCGAAAAATAGAGATCACTCAAACCTTACTGCTCGGCATATGCTGTAGCTTCAAGACTTTTTTAATAGATAATAATGAAATATATAGTTATAAAAGTACATGTTATATTTAAATAAAATATATTATAATATAACCTTAAATTTCCTATTCGAGTATTTTATCCATCTAGGAGATACTAATGAGCTATGAGTATATTATATTATGTATGGTTATAGTATGTACCTGGAAATGAGGACCATCAAGCAGGGCTTCCAATCTTGACATTCCCCTGCGACCTTAACTTACAACTTTAGAATCCACAAGGTGGGGCAACTGGAGTGGAGCTCATAAGAGCAGGTCACTAGTACACTAAAGCTACTGCCAATCCTAATATTTATCTACGCCACTGCTAATGGATATTCAGAATAAGGTTGAAATAAATGATTTACACACTGACACAAAAAATTAAGGGGGGGGGGGGGGGGGCAGGATGACATTGGCGGACATGTCACCCCCCCCCCCCCCCCAATAAAGGGGCTGCAAATTTCTAGGGAGCTTGATGTCCAGGTGACTAAGTCTGAGCGGTTTGCAGGAACTTAAATAGAATGAATAGTTTTCTTCTATAAACTTAGCAATCGATCAATGCTGTACACGAATCTCTTTTATTCAATCAAAATATCATAATATAATGATTAATATCAAACATAACAAGAAAATACGTGCCATTTTATCGTTACTTTGAGTGGGTCAATACGTGATCATGATTGTGTAGTGTATACTGAAATACTATGATATTGTATAAGTTGTATAAGTAGCTAGTGAATCGGCGACTCTTATATTTCCAGCTTTTTATTTTCGCTATTTAAACTTTACAATAACTAGACAAAAAACATGGACCTCCCCACTCCCCAGTGATTTGTAGTTGAAAATCGATATTCAATTAACCCATAGAAGTGAAATTATCACTGTACTAATGCACAGGCCTGCATAGTACATAAGTCAGAACCGCACTATATAGTAATTGTCTTACGTCAAGCTTTGATTGCAGCTGTTTGCCACACTGCCCCAAAGTGTTTACCACAATTATATATAAGTCAGAACTGCCTCCACATTTATACTAAAAATATGCACGTTCTAGGATATAAATACATTTCTTCAGTCGGCAGATGTTAGAACGTGTTGCAAAACACGTTGCTAGCCTAATTTAATAAGCGGACTCATTGATGTCACCATGGTTGGTGATAGGACATGATAGATGAAGAGGTTACGCTCAAGGAGTCTAGTAAACACCAATAAATTAGCTATCATATTATAGTCACACCCTGGCCCTGTTGGTAAGAAGAGCGCAAGAACAGCAACATAATTCGAGGAGACGATAATTCACTCTATTGGTCTCTATTGGTCACTTCCTATCCAAAGATTATCGGTTTCATAAACGCGACGAAACGTTTCACCAAATGTGGAAAAAGACTATTTAAGTTTAACTATTACTTTCCACATAATATATACAAATATACAAAAATATTACTTGGATAAGCACTGGGCTTCAAAGCTCTACCTTATAGTGGTCATCTTAACCACAGCCCCCTACGAAGCTACGAAGACAATGAACAAAAAGTCACACCCCTCGAATTAGATTATTATAAATTTCGATTTAAACAACTGATAATTATACCCTTTGTAAAGTCTGCAGTCTGCACTAAATAACCATTGTCTTGAACTTGGGCTGCAGCTGTTTACCACGTACTGCCCCCACAGTGTGTACTAGATAATACATGTGTACATTCGAGAACGCATATTTCGAACATATTTCTAGCCTAATCAATGGACTCACTGATACCGCTGATACCGGTGGTTGGTGGAATGTCATGATAGACGAAGAGGCTAGGCTCAAAGGTAGCAGGTTTGCTGATTATTAACACCTGTAAAATAGAAACCTCCCCAGTGACAAGTTAGCAGTACGACAAGTTAAACATACCCCCCGGCCCCCCCCCCCCCCTCCCAGTGATAAGTTAGCAGTACGACAAGTTAAACATACCCCCCCCCCCCCCAGTGATAGGTTAGCAGTACGACAAGTTAAACATACCCCCCCCCCCCCCCCCAGTGATAAGTTAGCAGTACGACAAGTTAAACATAACCCCCCCCCCCCCCCCAGTGATAAGTTAGCAGTACGACAAGTTAAACATAACCCCCCCCCCCCAGTGATAAGTTAGCAGTACGACAAGTTAACCCCCCCCCCCCCCCCCAGTGATAAGTTAGCAGTACGACAAGTTAGTGGAGTTCAAGGCTCTATCCTCTTCTCCGTCTCCAACCCTGTCTACATCAGTCACTACTTTATCAACAGGTCCTTTAACGAACTTGCTATTTCTCGAGCTCTCAATCTCAGGGTCAAAGGTGTGTTCAGTGTTTTAAAGGCGGTTTAATTTTATTTATTAATTTCCATACTGAGACATACTCACAGCATTCTAATTCGATAAATTTTAAATAATTCTATCTATTGATTCAACAAACCTTACTGAGAATTTTTTTAAAGTTCTTGGAACATCATGAATACATGAATGCACATATTATATTTATTCGAATAACCCGTAATCTGGATGTTTCCTAGGAGCAAAGATCCCCTCCGGTAAAGACGCTCCGGTGCAGCCGCAGTTCACGAAAGTAGCCTGGAAAGCTACGCGGATAGCTGAAAAAAGGACAAAGTGGGGCCTAATCTGGGCTAAGAACCACGAGGTGGAGATATTATACACTCCTCAAGGTAATATTAATTGAAATGTAACACTTTTTGGGAAAAATGTGTTAATTTAAGTCAACTTTTGAGATAAAGGAATAATGTGAACGAACTTTAACTTAAACATATTATAGCTATATGGCGGATAGCTGTGGTTCAGATAAATCCATTCAATAGCTCTCTTTTGGAGGTTTCTAATTGATCACTAAGTGATTTAGTACGAGGGCGCCAGATTATGGAGCAATTCTCCAATTGGCTATGTAAAGAGGAAGATAAAGGGCCCGGCGGCGCTTATGATCGAGGACAATGTGGAAAATGTACATAAAGTTAATTGCACCAAAATGCAGGACCTCCATGAAGTTTGACATATTGCTTACAAATTTCTTCGTAATCAAACGTTCCGTTAAGTTGAACTATAAAATAGATGAAGAAAGCAAACGTTTACCAAATCACAGCAGTGTATTGCATAGTATAACTGCACATAACTGAAACATAATTATTAAATGAAGGCATGGAATACAATAATTGCAGATTTGGAAGGTCATGTTTACTGCCTGTAGTAGTAAATATGCAAAATGACGAAATCACCAAACTGACAAATATTATGAACATGTCGCAATTAACTGACGACATCATAAGACTATAAGAAACATGATTATAATGCATATTGATGTCTTCATAAAACTTCAAACTCGTCAAATCCAGTCATCTTGTACGTTTATTGTTGCAATATTAGTCGTAACCACGGGTTTTCTAGTATATATTATGTATAAAAGTATAAAACTATGACGTCATCTCACAAGGTTTAAAGATAGCCAAACCAAGTCATCAACTTGATAATCTGTCAAACAGACTGAGTTTACCAGGAGAGTGGAGGTGATTTTGAATATAAATTTGTTATTCGAAAAATTTCACAGATCCACAGTTTATTATGCTATGTTCTGGTATAACATATCAAGCCATGGGGACTAAGATAACCGCTGCAGTCTGGACATGTATATCCTCGGGTTGAGATTCGTTATGAAAATGAATTCCTGTGGCGGTTTTGGTACAGAGACTGATCTTTAATCCGGTTCCTTTTTGCCAAACAGTTTTCAAACTGATACCACACTTTCCTGGCATTGGACACTTTTTGCCAGTAGGATTAAACTCTACAAGATGCTTCCTACTCCTAGTATCTGTTTCTAAGTTTTCTGCTACATAAACCTTTGTAAACCTTTCATGCCACTGATGATTTTCCACAGTGACTATATCTTCGCTGTTCATAAGTCTCTTCAGAAAAACCAAAAATTTTGAATTGAAACCTCGGAAATAATCGAAAAATTTAAATGGGATCGTCTTCCAATTTCGTCTTCGTTTAATGCCCACGATTTTTTTTAATTACCTCCGATGTACATTGTTCAGGAATCAGAGTTTGGTTCGCATCCATCCAAGCCACAAGACCTTCCACAAACATCATGAGATTTCTGATGTCCGGAGATTGGCCCATCCAGTCGATAAAATCTTCAAATTTCAAGCTGCAATCTAAATCATGGAGCATTTTTAACGAACTTTATTGTTCTATAGGGAAGGTGATTTCACCTGTTGCAGTTGTTGTATTATCTGGTGATGAACCAAGTCCTGCTTCAGAATTCGGCGCTTTCTTCGACGATGTTCCATACAAGTCGAATATCCATTTGTAATGGTCCGGTGATTCACTCAAAACTTCCCTAAGCAGATCAAATAACCGTTCAAACATTTCTACACTGTGCAGCCTGTACCTGGAGAGCTCACAGCTGTCTAACAAGTACTTCAAATGTTCCAGAAACAGTTTCGTACCGGCTTCTAGCTGGGCGGTAAGATTGTCTGCAATGGGCTGAACTATGTAGGTTATTTGGGCTCCTGCCAATTCTATCAGAATGTCAAGCTGGTTGGTGGAAAATGTGTCGCCGTCCTCCAAGTATCTGCTGATGAACTGCTGCTCCCATTCGAGCGACTTTATCTTCTTAACAGCCACATATTTTACTTGTGTTGACTTTATCTTAGATCTGGAGACAAATCCAGCCTCCTCAAAAAGAAAAAGCAGATCCAGGTAAGAGGGCTCTACAATCAGGTCAGCAAATTGAGAGAACCACTCCTCACACTTGGTCACTAGCCACGTGACTTGAAACACGTGAGCCATCTTGTTGATATCTCTAAAAGTGTCTCTGATCAAACCTGCTGTATATCCCTTGTAGACAGCTTCAACAAAACCCTGGACCGCCTGTTCACTGAACTCCTTCATGTCCAGACTGGTGAGGTTTAATTCTGTGGTCATGTGATCTATGACAGGGCTGTTGAAGGAGAGGATGACAGAGCTTGCCTTCAAGGCCTCCCCTTGGCTGGCCTCCCGGTAGAGGTTATTGTGGGTTGGAGATTTCAGGAGGTGTATTCCATAGTTCATTGGAGTGTAGATTTTCCTTGGTGTTCGGGTTCCCATCAGCTTCGATATCCTCAGACCTAAATGGCTAAATAGTTCAAGTTTTTAAAATTTATCGCTAGAGATTATCAAAATTCGATCTTAAAGAAATGTCAAGCTGATCGAACAAAACTGATATTTTTATGTGGTTAACAAATTTGAAACTGTTTCGTGAGACGTGAACTGCAGCCTCAAGTGTAATACAACCGTATTATTTTATATGATTCAACCGCATTATTTTATATGATGCCCATCTCGTGATGCAAAAATTAGAAATTCAAAACCAGAAGTATTGATTATTGAAGAACCCGTAATTTAACTCAGTTACCCTGTTTGAGTTGATAAATCCTGTTTTTTCTCATGTTATCAGCTGAGCCTTCAAGTTCAGAGGCAACTCTAAGTAGAGTGAAGCAATGAATTTTAAAATTATTTGTGATCTTCATAATGAAAAATTCGATAATAATCTTAAATTACGCCTTAAAACACAGCTCTCCTCCCTCAGGCAAACAGTTTCACAAAGACAAACAAGAAGAGACGGCACTGCAAGGTGACCTGACCCAGTACCTGGCTCCTTCTGAATACTGTACCAAGGCTCTCTTCACAGCTTATGTTAACGTCTGCAAGAAAACAAAGAAGGCTTACGTGAGTTGACTCTCAATGAGAGAAATTGATGTTTCTACCTTTGAAAGTGATGTGAACTGGATATTCTTCTTAAGTAGGACTTAAGATCTTCTTAAAAATTATTGCATCGATACAGACACCGTCAATACTGCAGTGACGTCATCTATTTCCGCCTAAAACCCCCTTATTTCAGCCTCAGAAATACAGTGTAGCAAAGAGCGCTAACACGAGATACAGACAAGTAAAAACAAGTGTGCTGAGTCACCTGAAGGACAGTGGGTTTGGTGACTGGTCTGTTAACCCTTGTAAACCTGACTACTGAGCTAATAATTACTGCAGTGTGGTTTATTTATCGAACACTAACTTTAGTAAAGTATGTTCGACCTTAAACAAGTCGAAAAGAACTCTTAATATGCCTTACTTTTCTGATATTTATTGGTCTACCGTGCATGGAATGTTATACAAACATTTCAATTTGTGCGGTTGTTGGTATTAAGGTGTCCCTCTGTTTTATCTTCTTGTTAATTTCAGCTTCAATTACATCATTTTATTGACACGAATTGCTTTTGGTATGTGTCGGCATCTATTCCAAAGCTATTTTGTCACTGTTAAATTCGTTATTTTTATTTAAAGATTTAAACTTATTTTATCAAAATGAATTTCTCGTTCTAGCTTTTTCTTGTGTCTTTGTTCATCCGCATTACAAGTTAAACGTAACATAAAATTTATCCCCGTTCTCATTCTCAATATAATTTCTTGATATTATGTCCCTATTTTTTTAAAGATTCCGTTAGCAGATGTCTGGCTTCAAAAGGAGGCGGGGTGGTGGCGACTGGTATGATGACCCGTACAAGAGACCAAGACTCCTACCTCTACAAGAGAACATGTTGCATCACCAGGGTGAGTCAGCATCTTAACTTGAGTTGATTCTTAAGTTCATACTTCATCTTACTAAATTTAAAAGTTTAAATACTGAAGCCATCTTCGTCGGCTGGACAATTTTTGTAATTTTAATTTGTCTAAAATCTACACCAATATTTATTATTAACGATGTTTTGTATTTCAGGATACGTTGGAGATGAGCCAGCATACCGTCATCCTCCAGCCCCACATTATGACTACGGTCCCGCTTATCCTCCTGATCACCATGCTTATCCCCCTGATCCTTATGAGTACCCACCGGACTCTCACGCTTACCGCCCTGATCCACACGCGTATCCACCTCCTGACCCACATGCGTACCCACCTCATCCAGACTACGATTACCCACGTCCGCGTCCTGCTCGTGCCCGACCACCCCGTGGCCGTTATGATTACAGCACTGTTAGAGGTGAGCAATATTATGGTTCTCAAAGTGGAATCAAATAGATGTTGTTTGGATATTTTTTCCTGTTTATTTCTCACCGAAAGATCAGCCCATTATATTTAATTATATATAATGTACTAATAATACATGAACCTTGGTAGGCTGAGTCTAAACCAGTTCTTTGCAGGCGCTCACGAGGCACGCGGTAGTGAACGGGGAAGATTTAGAGGTAGAGGTCATGAAAGAAGTCACGAAAGAGGTCACGATAGAGGAAGGGGTGATGTCAGAGGTCGAGGAAGAGGAGAAGGAGGCAAGCGAGGAAGAGGAAGAGGAGGAGGTGGTGCTGATCGTGGTGGTGGTGGTGGTGGTGGATATGTTGTTGAGGAAAATCCATGGCTAGCTGTAATGAATGCTATGGGAGCTAATGATGAAGGTACGAGAGAGCAGCAAACCCTCACTGATTCAGTGATTCAGTCCCAAATCCCCTCCAGGGCCAAGTGTTGGCTTTAGATCCAACTTAGTTGATAAAATCATATCATAGTAATAATATTATATTATTATATATCCTAATACAAAGATTGAATGCTTGTTAACAATTACAGTCTAGTTCCTAACTTTGATCGTTGCAGTGCAGCCTGAGGAAGAAGAGAAGACAGATTTTACTTGTAGTCAACGCAAAGCAACTAAAGTTCTCGCTCAGCTGTACCCCGAAGCTGGTATATCACGTTTAATTGTTGATCTACTAACCAACCACTCATAGATGAAAGGAAGAAGAATCTTGTAGTTTACGTTATATGCGTCATTATCCATTCACGTCATATATTAGTCGCCCTACGATTTAGACCTTTATCGCCAACGATTCCTCCTATAAAATGAAACTAAATTATCAATAATCATCTGCTCTGTTTACAGTGTTCGAACAGACGTTACTGATACACAACGAGCTAGGTCACTGTATCGGCTACCAGGTAAAAGTGGAGGGTAAGACGTTTTACGGAGAGGGCTCCACAGCTAAGATAGCTAAAGGGCTCGCTGCTCTCGACGCTCTGACTTACATTAAGGTTTGTCTCTTCTCAGTTCATGTTTAGTTGTTTGAAGCCCTCCCCAAACATTAACAGAAAGTGGCCTGATATTTAGATCTGGGTTTACTGAAAACTATCACATTCTGTTATTCGAATATCTTATTAAAACTGCATCGAAGATATTGGTTTTAGTATGATTTTAAAAAGAGGCCTCACCAGTCAACATGAACCTGATCCCTAATCTTGATCTCTTATGAGTGCTATTCCTCTGCAGGCACCAGGTTGTGATGATCTGCTACCTGTGTGTAACGTGGTGGAGGAGATGAAGAAGATGGAGGTGGTTAAAGCTGGCCAGGAACAGTATGGAACAAAGAAACCTGCTAGAAAGCGAGCTCCAGCTAAACAGACCTTTAAACGACAACAGGTGTGGAACCCGAACAGGGGTAGATGACTTTGATATGGATCATTTCACAGTCCATATCTTTTAATGTGGTTTGAATACCTTTTAGTTGTTCAGTTCGTATTGGGTATATTACGAAAACTCAGTTCTTTCGTAATTTATTTCGAAAGTATACATGATCACAACTGTAACATATTTCGTCACTTCAGCCGAAGTCTGGTGTAGTAGAGGCCCACCATCAAGCCCCAGTGCCGACCCTGGTGAACTTTCAGCTTCTAAAACAGAAGTACGTGGGCGCTCAAAACGAGGGAGAACTGGTCCAGACCTTCAACCCTGCTGGAAGTGGAACTAGAACTTGTGTTCTTATTGTTCAGGGCCATGTTTTTAAAGGTATGCTATGAAATGAAGATAAACATCAAGATTCAAGCTGTTTGTGTTTCATCATAGAATAGCTGACAAATATATTGACTAATAGTAAATTTACTGACGACATTTTTTGATAGACCATTTCACTTCACTGAATGCTAGAATTTAATTATCAAGTCCATAATATCCAGATTACTTGACTCGCATACTTCACTTATAGGGGACGGTGCAACAGATAAGATTGCCAGAGACTTTGCTGCTAAAGAGGCTATCATCTACTTTGAGAAGACTCCTCCTAAATTCGTGCAGAAGATGAAGGAAAAAAGTTAGTTATATAATATATTGAAATAATAATGCTGTGGAGATGCATGCCGAAAGTCGCCATTTTGACAATCGCTATATTCAGTTTTCCAAGTGATTTCTTAACAAGTTATGCATGATATTTCATATCAGACATAACCCAAAATATGCATAATATGCCATGTATAACATGACATATTATACATACCACCAGCCGCGAGAGAACCAATTTACGACCGCCAAGATCCGGACGACTACATAAACCTGCTCTATTGCAAGGCTTGGAAATTTGCAGTGGAGCTGACCAAGGATCACAACCAAGTTTATGTCAGGAAACAAAACCTGGCCTTCGTGCTCAAGGTTCGGTAATGTCCTAAGATGAGAAATGCGTAAGATACCCGAGTCGGCCGAATAAAAATATGTTTAGACACAGACTCAACGAAAAACACGTATCTTACGTATTTCACCGCTTAGGTATTGTCTCGGTTAATCTCTTTTCATGATTGATTAACCGGTAAATAACTGACGTACTAGCTACTTAAACTTACTTTCAATGAATGCGCTCATCCCTCAAAAATATTTAACATAATTTATTCAACATAGTCATAACAGGTTGGTTGTTGGAAGATCTCTGCGCAAGATTCCAACAATCGGCTGATACTTACAATTTTCACCATAGTTTTCTTGCCAACGGCCATCGATCTAGTTTCACTCATTCATTCTTTCTCTGCTTCGCCATTTTGAAAGTTTGAAAGATCGTGATCAGTTTCCTTAAAATAAGATCCTGTTCATAGTTAGCAATGGCTACCTAATAAGTAAACCCACTTTTAATTTACTCAGATCTTGTTCCGCTAATAATATCATAACCCCGTGCAGATATATGGTCCAGACCAGAATATAGACACTGCGGAGGTGGTTGCCATGGCTTCTGGAGCAAAGATCATTGCTTCAGAATACATGTCGCCTGACGGCTTCGCTATAAATGATTGCGGAGGTTCGATTTTATTAAGTATTAATTATGGCACTATTTTACCCCAAACACAAAAGGAAATTATCATCTTTCCTTCCCTTAAATATATTAGGGTTTCTTGATCATATGACACAAAATAAATGACAAATTTATAATGATTATAGTATGCTTCGGAAGTTATTTAAGTCAATAATTAAAACTTGTGACAGGCGAATCACTGTGTATTCGAGCATTTCGGAGGTACCTGGTCAATCAGTTGATGAACTTGAGTAAAGGGTACAAGGAGACTATATTTAGACGCAACCCATTCAGTAGGATCATGGTTAGTTCCAAAATAGCCTGTCAAATATTAAATTATCCGTTAAAAAGGAAGTAGTTATGTTATTAAAATAGATCTGCAGGTTTAAGCTTTTTAATTTATGGTAGATTTAAAATCGTTAAACTACCTTATATAATATCGAAGAAAGATTTGTTATTCTGGCTCAGTTCCAATCGTCACAATTACTATTCTTCTGAATTTTGCTTTTGCAGATGAAAGAAGGGTACAAGTTTGTGTTTGTAACAAACTGTTCCTCGATGGGCGACTGCAAGAACTTTGATGCCCAATTCTACAACTGTTTAAAGAACAAACAGTTCTTTAATATCAAACACGATGGTAGTGAACTAAAAACTAATGCACTGAAAAAGACAGAAAGGAAAAAAGCTAACCCCAGCGCGATCGTTCCCTTCGATACCACAAAATGTGGCAAGGTGGGACGATTAAAGAGAGCATACAACATAATGATACATTTTGATTGTGAGAATAGATCCTTTGGCTTCGTCCGTGGTTTTGTTACAATCGAAGTTTACTTTTTGTGCTCGGTTTTATTCCTTACCACATAACACTGGATTAACTCACCTAAACAGCAACTCTTGTAGTCTTCCCCACATTAACTGTCCCACTCCCCTAGTTACATCAGTACCGCAAGATGGCGTTGGACCATGTCCCTGACCAGTGTGTGGTACCTGAACCTGATCTCCTTTCCTACCTCTCCCCTATTGTTGCTCCTTCTGCTAAACTAGCGCTTAGGAATGTGGTGGGGTTCCAGGGGGCCCTCCTCTCCACCCTTATAGATAATATCTACTTCAGCGAGTTCTATATTGGCAGGTTCGAGTGATGATTGCTATTAATAAAACAAGAATGTGATAAAATAAGAATTTTACCTTGTAGAAAGTTATTTTATTTATTTAGCAATTCACGCTTTGTAGAGGGAGATAAAAGAGTGCTCTTGCGGTACAATTAGGAAATTAACTTTTAAGGCTATTGCAATATTTTTTCGCCCTTATATTATGTAATATGTTGCCAAAATACCGGCTACTGTATGACCGATCTATAAAAATTCAAGATTATTGATGTTCTAAAAGTAACCATGTTATCACAGAGCATTTGACGACGTGGCCCTGGCACGTGCTCTCCACGGCCGTCTCCAAGGAACCAAGTTTCCGGCGGGAGTTTCTGTCAAGGTGCCAGAGATACACCGACTGACCTGGAAACCTAGCAGGATGGCTGATAAAACAACTATCTACGCCTTTGCTTGGTGTGAGGGCTGCACTCTTGATGTTTTGCGAGCTGATATAGGTTCGTGTCATTACCATTCAGTTTAATTTTACTGACTCCTCGCATAGTGTCCTAAAATAAGTGCCCTGAAAATTGTCCATAGTGGTAATTTTCATGAAGGAGTAACGCATGCAATTCGGGCGGACATATTATTCAGAGGAATTTTCAAACATATGTGGGGTTATTCCGGGACACTTCTTACCATATTATTATAAGCCAAAGTAACCCACCAAATTGCAATTAATGTAATCAAAGTGGGCAATCGTTTGGTCAACTACAACTTCAGTCGCAGACTTTGATATTATGTTGCATTATTATAATAACATAGAGATGGCCTTTCTGCTGGCGGGGTGTTTATTGATAGACGGCTCTTCGGAATAATTGCAGCTTGATTTAAGTGAGTATTAAATATGTCTTGGCTGGAATGGTCCAGTTAAATTATCCAATTGGTCGTACTTCATAAATGCCAAATTCCAAGAAATTGACGACATGATGTGGTTAAGGTTGGTGCAAAGCTGAATTAAATTTTGACAAGAGACACCTGAAGCGTTGTGGAATTATGCAAACTTGGTCATATTTCTTTGATATTCCGAGAATTTTACGACAGAATCCTCAAATCAAACGAAAGCAATCAGAATGTGTGGTTATTATATTATATCAGATATCTTTATGTAGTTGGCTCTAATGTTAATTTTGCCATAACGTACCTGTTTAAGGAATAGCCGACTTAAGATTCGATGATTTTCACTTAACTCAAGGCTCCGAGACAGATCGAATAAGGACCGTATTATGTAAAGAAATAGATTTAAAATATACTTTTCAACGGGATATTATTTGGTATTGTAATTTAAACACCAAAAATCTTGGAGCTGATCCATTCGGACATCTGCTGCACCTCAGCTCTAGCTGTATCAGTTTTGCGATCGAAAAGTCAAATTTTCTTCATTCACCAGAAAGAATCCCAATCAAAGAACTCGGGGTATTTGAAACATAAAAGCGATACGAAATTTTGTATTTAGCAGGAGCTTTCAAAATTCATATTTTTATGTAAATCGTCTTCAAAATCGTCTCCAAGTTACTACCGCCTGATAATCTACATCACGCAGGAAGTAAGGTAGACATGATAAAACCAGCAGATATTAAAGATATAAGCGAGGACATGCTCCATGCTTACGACAGCAGAGAGATAAAGTCCGCTTCTCCCTCCCAGTTCTGCTCCTATAATTACTATGAAACTTTCACTGAGCTCCTTAAAGCTGAGAGTAAAACGGTAATTATTTTAAAGTTATGTTGATATTAAATATTACTTATCTCTTCAGCTCAATCCCTGGAATCTTTTAATGCTCTTCTTAAAACGTACCTTTTTAAACTGTCCCTAGATGAACTTGAAAAACTTTATCGATAACTATTTTTGTCTTATCTGGTGTTTGATCATCAAACACCAGATAAGACAAACTTTGATCTTTGCATAATATGTTTAAGTACCATTCTCTGGCTTTAGTATTGACGATATATTTTCAAGCATAAGTTACTTTTCTTAACTAAGTAATTATTCATGTTATTATCTGGGATAACTAGTTTGAACACTGCTGAGTATAAGTTTTATCTTAATAGCGGTGTTATTAAATTTCAATTTATTATTATTATTATATTGTTTATGTTACATAACATATCATATATTTACGTATTTACAAGCAGAATAGATCTCGCACTATAGTTCGTATAATATTCAGGATGGGATTTCTATGTATAATATTCATTTAATGTCGCAGGTGGAAAGTTATACCAAGTTAAAGAAGTCAGCTACAGCATATCAAGCTGCAAAGCAAGCAGTTTATAATGCCTTTCAGCAGAAAGATCTCGGTACTTGGCCTAAGAAAACAGTCCTACCAAACTTCTAGCCAAAAAAACTAAACCTATTCAGGACTTTTTTATTGAATGCTCTAGCATTTATATTGTATATGAATGCCGGTTTCTGCCATGAGTGGTCTTATTTTTTATTAGTGACCGTATCTGACTGATTACCAGTTTGTAACGTATTCAACTATTCAAACCGGATATTTATTTGTATTTAACATTGTGTATGTTATAATTTTGCTGGCCAAATCCTGACATATTCAGTAACTTCTTTAGCCCTTTAATTGTTATACCCATTTAAGGACCCAAACATATACCCAATTCGATTTAATATCAATATTCAGTTTCACCCAAACATCTCCACTTTAGCAGTGATTCATGTTTAGATGTTGTTGAATTGCTCTTCTTTCTTTGCCGTAGGTACTGAAATAAACCAACAGCTTAGATAAGCGAGATTTCGTTTAAAAAAGGCTGGGCCACGAGCCTGTATGTCAACGTGTCTAACATTGTATCCTCTATAGCAAGATGACGGGTGAAGATGCCAGGTTCGCCCATCTCAAGAAGGACCCGAGGTTTAAGAAGGTCGGTAAAGACAAACGGAAGGTTAAGATAGATAACCGCTTCAAGCACATGTTTACTGCACCTGAGTTCTCCTCTGTTGATTTCTTGGATAAGAGAGGGAGGAAGGAGAAACGGGTTACCAAAGAGAAGCTCGAGAAGTTCTATGAGATGTCATCTGAGGAAGAGAGCGAGGAAGAGGAGAACGAGGAGAATGATGAAACTTCGCTAGCAGAGGAAAGCGATGAAATTTCACGCGCAGACGAACTAATCACTAATTTAAAGAAGATCGCCAACGATACTCCTAAAGAACTTCCATTAAATCCTGAGGACGACTCTGAGTCTGAAGCTGAAGGGCCTGACGAAGAAGAAGAACCATCAGACTCCTCCGATGGTGAGTCCTCTGATGAGGACGAGGTTTCTGCAGAGGCAGCTGTTGATGCCTGGGACTCTGTTAACACCTGTACTGAAACTACATCTGATTCTACCAGCAGAGTTTCAATCTGTAATCTGAACTGGGACAGAATGAACGCAACTGATATCTTTGTGCTCTGTCACAGTTCCCTAAATGAGAAATCTGGTAAGCTTTGATATGTTGACGATATTATTAAAAGAAATTGTTATTACTTTCATTTGTGATTTCATTTCGATACTATAGCCAACTTATATATTAACAGCGCCGAACTGACGGAAATTGTACCCATTTTGTAAATATCTGACTAGTCAACTACCTACAGGCACAATAAAACAAGTGGAAGTGTTTCCGTCCCAGTACGGTAAAACCCAACTTGCAAAGGAGTTGGAGAGGGGTCCTGATTTAGGAGACGCTGCTGATGATGATCATGATGAGGGGAAGGAGTACTCCACTGAAGCTCTCAGGAAATACCAGGTTAATAAAATTGTAATATCCGGATCAGAAAGTTATTTGTTGTGTAATATCCGGATCAGAAGGTTATTTGTTGTGTAATATCCGGATCAGAAGGTTATGACGTGTTGTGTAATATATCCGGATCAGAAGGTTATTTGTTGTGTAAATTTATCCGGATCTTGAATATTAACATAATATATATATTATATATCAAATTTAATATATTATATTTTTTTCGGCCAAGACGGATCTCATGCACTTAATCTACTGATCTAGACCTAGCAATCTGTTATGTTATCATACTAACTAGATCCTATAAAAGCTAATGTATTTCAGATCGAACGTTTGAAGTATTACTACGCGATAGTCACGTGTGACTGTGTGAGAACGGCGGATATTCTCTACTCTGAACTGGATGGAGTGGAGTATCAGCTCAGTTCATCTGTGAGTCTTGTTTTTTCTTTTTTTTATCTGTGAGTACTGAGTATCTTAACGCAAGATTTTAATTGATGGATACGTTTACCAGATCAAGAGGGTCAAATGACAGTTCAATAATTTTAACAGCACTTGTTTTAAATTTATCAAATTAATAAAAAACTTTAATAAGATCTAATTTTACAGACGTTAGACCTGAGGTTCGTGCCGGATGATATGGAGTTTGAAGATGATCCCCCAATTTCCGCGTGTTCTTCCATGCCGGACATGATCACCTACAAACCACCGACCTTCATCACCACTGCCTTGCAGGTTCTTACATTCTTTAAATTTTCTTCGATCTGTCAAACCTTTCACACATATCGACAGAATTGTTTTATCTTATTTCTAGCTTACTACCTACTACAACTACATATCTGCTGTACTTATCGAGTATTAAGGACATTTTTGTTTTGTCGCTTAACCCCCGTTTCCTCAGAACAGCTCAGTAAAGCTGACCTGGGACGAGACCCCACAGTCCAGACTAGAACTGACCACCAAGAAGTTCTCTGCTGCTGATCTTGAAACTGTTGACTTCTCTGCTTACATTGCTTCTTCTGAGAGTGAGAGTGATGGGGAGGATGCAGGTGAGTTATGTGACTTCGTTTCTAGACCCAGTTATTATCGAATATCTATTTGGTAGATTAACAATACCCGAGGCCAGGTAGAATACAAGATAACAAAGTCACATGCTAAGCAAACTATTTCCAGGAGGTCCCAGTTTGGAGAAGTACAAAGCCCTGCTGGCTGGAGCAGAGGAGGAGGAGGAGGACCAGGTGGACCAGGAGATGGAGATCACCTGGACTACTGGACTTGAAGATAACGAGGAGGTAAGTTGCAGAGTCACAAAGGTTTCCATGCTTGTTGATCGTTTCTTCGTTTTCAATAGTTGTCAACCCAATAGTTGGAAAACAACCCAAATCAAATAATTAATCTCATGAATTCTCAGGTAGTAGATGAAGCTGATAAGAACGAAGAACGGCAGGAAAATTCAACTTTCTATGCTCCAGATGACAAAGATGATTTCTTTGCTACCGATACTGTAAGAAACATTTTTGTTAGACTTTTACCAGATTCATATTCCTGAAATTTCGATAATTTTAGGCTGTTTTGAAAATATGTATCCCCTTTTACTATGACAATTGTATGCCTCTTTCAGGTGATCGACCATCCTAAAAAGAAGAAGAAGAAGAAGAAAAAGAAGAAGGGAGAAGAGAAAGAATTGACGAAAGAAGAATCCGAGCTGGCCTTGCTTATGGAGGTACGAAATAATATGTCTTTCAGTTGTCCTTGGTTTATGTAATTATGTAGGTACATTTATATAATTGATTTTTGAACTTAAACCTATTTCAATTGGGGTTATTATAATACCTTCCGGGAATTATATCCACTAAAACTCGGGGACACCGAGGGCTGATAATTTGCTCATTTTTCCCGCAAGAGAAGCGAGGGTATTATCAGCCCAGACTCAGACTGGCTGGCGGCAAGTTTCAAAACAAATAACACTGGCGTTCTATATATTAGACACTATATTGTATGATGCGCACGTATCGGATTACACCCCTTCTGCAATCGGAACCGGAACGTATTATAAAATATAATACCTCCGCAACTTCGTGCCCGCAAATTCCCTCCAGCAAGCTGTCGGGAATTATCGCGCGCAGCACTCAGTGGCGGAGGTATTATAGTATTTTAATATTTTGAACTGATAACTTTCTAACTGACAATACCCTTCTAGAGCGAAAAAGACGAAAAGAAACATTTCAACATGAAGAAAATAGTAAAATCAAACAAAGAGGACAACTTCAAAGTTGACATAGAGGACGACAGATTTTCAGCGTTCAAAACCTCCCATCACTTTGCTATTGACCCCTCTGCCCCGGAATATAAAGCTACTTCCGAGACTCAGAAACTGAGGGCTGCTCAAGCTGCTGCCATGACAACGACGATAGTGTCACGTGAGGAAATTAGTGGTGATGTTGAGAGTAATGTTATTGATAAGATCAAAAGTAGGACAGCGCAATTTCAGAGTAAGAAAGAGAATTCTAAACTTTATAAAACTAAAAATAGAGGAATTATACCGGAGGAGGTGCAGAATGTTTCGCCGAATGAAAATTCAGATAACAATATAAAGATAAAAAAGAAGAAGAAGAAATTGCCAGAGGATTTTTCTTCTGATTTGAAGTCAGACGTAAGCTCGAATGTTAAGCGGAAAAAGAAACGGGTTTTAGAGGAGGTCCCTTCAGAAATTACTTCCGATGATACACAAATTCCAAAAAAGAAGAAGAAGAAGAGAAGAGAAGAGAACCAATCTGAAGAAAAGCCTAAGAAGCACAAGAAAAGGAGAGCTGAATCATGATATTATTAATTATAGCCTTTTTAAAGACTTAGGCTACTGAATTATATAATCATGGTTGTATGAAAGTACCGGCAACACCTGGTTGCTTTTATATTTTGTCACTTTCTGCTTAAACTTAATTTATTAATTTTAATTACCTCTGACAAATAACATTTTAGTTTTTAACTTGGGTACACAAATTCGTTTTAAATCTGTAGACAAAAGTTTTGATAAAATTGTTCCTTTTAAAGTTGCCTTTCTTCACGATTCACACCGAATCAAAATTAAAAATCGATCATACTTTATTGAATATAAAGTTGTTCCACTGACGCCTCATACCACAATAGCAATGATGGCGAAAGTAAAACACCCCAAGAAACGAAACTACCGTCAACGAGCCCACTCGAACCCACTTAGTGACCACAGTTTCGACTATCCTCTCTCCCCTGGTGTCATGGAATGGTCTAAGCTCTACCCCAGATTTAAGCCTGGCGATGAGGTAAGATATTTAGTGTTTTTTTAGCGAAATGTGGTAAAATATTAAAGTATTATACAATGAGGTGAGATATTTAGTGTTTTATCTCCCTTAAAATTAGGAGTTGTATATCTCTCCTGTTTATATCGCTGTTACGCAGTAACTCATAGCTAGCTCCAAATCGTACTAATGTTGGGTTACTCAAGATATCTTGGTCAAGGTATTATTTTGTTAGTTTTGTAAACAGAACTGACATCAAAAATTGGAAGTAAGCTTTACATCGAAACATTTACTGTAGAGGAGTTACAAGAGTTACAATAAATTTATAAGAGTTACCAGAGTTACAAGAGTTTACAAGAGTTACAAGAGTTACTTGACATGACGTGAAATACTCAACACGAAAAATGTATGGCAGTATAAGTATGAAATATTATGCCAACTTCTGATGCCATTAATTAATGATGATGACAAAAATCTCTTGTAAGTGCTACAACAACAACAACAACAACCCCCCCCCAACTGTTTGATCAGTACTCACCAGGGTCAACACAGCCTGGTCTAGAAGAGTATATGTAGTTGATACCCTCTTTACAGTAAATGACATCACTGCCCAACAGTTTGAGGTTCCCCTCACAATGTACGCTCACTGCGGTACCGTACTCCATCGGGTAGATACCGTTATTTGTCAGATCGTTTGCTATTAGGATGCCAGTGCAGATATCTGATGAATATTTTAGGTACATGTTGGACTTGTTGGTTAATGGAGGCATTGGCGATGAAAAGTGATAGTAGGCGATTTTTAGAGCAATATGGGTCAAAATAATTATAAATGAATAATATCGTAATTTTCAATCAGGATAATTTGCAAGTCAGCTGAAAAAATTATGACCGTAGAAACTAGTCACTAAATCAGTCATTCGATAGCTTGTGCGATTATTTGTCAGGACACCATACCTAACAAGACAACTAAAAGTTAACCTACCTATTTGACAATTTGGGGTGACACCCGTCTCAAACTGAATCCCTTCAACACACGTTATCACGTTATCCCCATGTAGAGTGTGTCCCTCCTTGCAGTTCAGTGGTACTTTGGTTCCCACTATGACGGGGAACGAGACTTGTGTTTCTATATTGGGGAGGGCGGGTAGTCCAAAACACTTGTCTGAGGAGGTGTTAGTTGGTTAGTTTGTCTGCTGGCAAGGGAGGAGATTTTATCGTTATGAATTCGTGGTGCTTTTAAAGGATGAGGGGACCTTAGAATTTACTTCCAAATATTCGCGTTTAAGTCCTGTGAAAGTGTGTAGAATCAAAAAATACGCCGGACTGTGAAATCGATAATTCGTGCAATATCACGCCGCGCTCCTATTGGCTGATAGCAATTTTGGGCTGTGACGTCACTTATGTGTTAAGACCAACGTGCGCGCGCACACTTCGCTCGTGTCAACATTTTGTTCTGTTCTGTTTTAATTACATCGTGTTACCTTTGGCGTTTGCGAGAGCGGTATCTTTGGTTGTACTGAATTAGTCTAAGTTACGAATAATTTTCTTTAATAATAATAGTTAAATGTAACTCAGAAAGGCTTTCTTGTAGTTGTAGTAGGTATTTCTATTTATAAATAGCTAAGATAAGTAGCATCCGCTAACTAAACCACAAACTGCTATTTTGTTTTGACTTGTTTGAAACCCGATATGGACACAATTAAAAAGAATGTATGATGTAGTAGAAGACATTTTACTAGCTGGCCCTTGGCGCCTCTAGTCCTATCTGAGTACGCACGTGCGGTTTGACACTGTGCGTGTACCGGCCTTTATATTAGTTGTATATATTAGTTGTACACTCATTTATAATTTACCGTTTTAGTTTGCTGTGACTTGAGTGTAAAGCGTAACGAATGTGGATGTGTTCGTCTGCTATGCTTGGTATAATATTGCTTGGTGTAATAGTTGCAAATCTTGCTTACGTTATAAGTAGTGTCACATAGTGAGTTAGAACTTAAAAGCTTGGTGCTTGGTGCTTGTCCAACTGGAATGAAGACATGCATTTCATACCTACCCGATCCATTTTTATTAGGACCGTGTTGTGTTGATATGACATGTTGATATATCAACTGTGGTACGAAACAGGGAGTTGCTAGGTGTTACGTTGGGAGCTATAAATATACATAATTTACATGCCTTTCGGTGTGACATCAATCTTATTCCAGGTATATCTCGGCTCACGGTTATCGTAGGGTGATAATTCTTTTTTCAACCGGTCATAAAAAGTCTCCTCTCCATTGGTTATATGCTCGTTAGTATCGTAAATTGTTAATTTATTCTTAATTAGTAATTTAGTCGGCCCGCACGCTCATTTTACCTGTATTTCTATATGCGCGGATCAGAGCAACTCACATAATTGACGTCACAGGTTCAAATTGTTTTGGCTGGATATCTCGGCGCGCGAATGAAATACAACTTTGCGGATTTCACTAAAGTGGTTTATACGATTAATGTAATAAAAGGATTTGCACGAGAAAAAAACTTTTTCTAAGGTCCCCTCATCCTTTAAAGTCTTTCTAATTAAATAGATGTCCGATAAATCAAAGAAAATAGAAATTCACGTACTAAGAATGCATTCTGGATCAGTGCCAAAAGAGAAGGTTCTGTCCTTGACACACGTTATAACGGTATCTCCAGTTAACCCATATCCGCTGATACAACCTATCCCGACTTCAGTACCGTAGTTAACAGGGAAAACTACCTTCGTCTCCAAATTGAAGATGTCAGGCAGGTTCGAGCAAACATCTGATGGATTAAACATTTACAATCTGGAAAAATATCATTGCATTCAGATTTATTTGCTTCCTTAAATAAATTCATGAAAATGAAATTCACAGAATAACATATCTGGATACTTTCGTGGAGACAAATGTCCTCTTATTTTCTGACAAATGTCAAACCAAACATTTTTAATCTCCAATAAATATAAAAATCCAGAGTAACTAAACATACCAATAGAGCAGATCGGTTCCCCTGTGAAGGTGTACTCTGCATCCTGCTGACACGTCATTACCCTTTCTCCGGAAGTGAAGCTGTAACCCTGTTCACATCCTACGTACACCAAGGTTCCTTTGAGCACAGGGAACTTGGTGGTTGTCACGAGGTTCTTCTCGGCTGGCAGTTCTCCACACGTCCCTGAAATTAGGAGTTGCGATATCTGGATGTCTATCCACGTGTAATGTTTTCAATTCTTCACTTTTAGATTTGATGAGGATTACAGGAATAAAAATAATAGCATTGTTGATTAGGTACAGTTAAACCCCGATTTACTGCAAACCCCGATTTACCGCGGCCATTTCCTTCCCCGGAATATGCTTAACATGCACAATGTAAACTAACAAAACCTCGATTTACCGCGACTGTTTCTCTTCCCCAAACTCCGCGGTAAATCGGGGTTTACTGTACCTAGAACTGAAAAATAAAACTCTACTCACGATTTGAACAAAAAATCGATAGACTTAAATATGGCTGAAAAAGTATTTTATCCTGTTGACTGACCGATGTCATTGCAGCGAGGCTTGTCCTTGAAGTTGTAGAGAATATTCTCTTCACACGTGATTATGTTATCCCCCCTCAACTCTGCATTAGAATTGGGATCACATGACACTGTTACCAAAGCACCGTGGTCAACCGGGAAGGTAGAATATGATTTCAATCTCTTATCCTCTTCTGGCAGTCCAGTGCATTGCTCTGTAAGTGACAGTACAGTTAGATAGATTTGGCTCTCAAGTTAATTTTTCATAGTGAGACATTGTTATAATTTGTAACAATTGTAAGAACATTGAGTAGGTTGCTAATCAATCAATAAAAGCCTTTTCATGTTTCTTACTATACGTTGGATGATGGGACTTTTTATCATATGAAAAATCATAAAACTAAATATCACAAGTCCGCAAGTCTTGTTAAAACAGTGATAAAGGAGCCAACTGTTTCATTAATAATCAATACGTGTTATAACCCACTTTTTATACAGCTAGGACTTGTCCTGAACAGAAATTGCGCATCCTTGTTGCATGTGATCACTTGATCACCCTCCAAAGCAAAACCAGCAGCACAGGATACTGTGACCAATGCTCCGTAGTCAACAGGAAATTCAGTTCCAGTCACCAGATTTTCAACGTTTAACAGATCCGAACATCTTTCTGAGTGAGGTTAAATATGTGATAGATCTGTGTGTACAGAAAACATACCTTTCATTTTTAAATTACATGTTATGACACAACTATTGAAACTGTTTTTTTTTTCTCGGATGAGTAAATAAGATTTTGTCATAAAAGGTTGTCTACAACCGAGAAGTATCATGAAGAGTAAGAAGACGTGTAAATTTCAGTGATCTTAACCCATTAGGGACGACGAGTTTTAAAGTTTGCCGATTTTGATGCCGTTTAACACACTAGGTCACTTTACAGCAAAAATGAGATATCCAAAAAAGCTAATCTGTATCTCATTTACTTTAAAAGATACAGCTATGGTCGCATACGACCCACTCGTCCGGGTCGCAAACGACCCATCACGGTTTTTCGGCTTTAACTTCTGAAACAAAGACGTTAGGATAAAATAAAATAAAAAGCATAAGCTAAAAACATATGGTCAATACTGTGTGACTCTAACTTTTAAAAAATAAAGAATTTGGGTCATTAACGACCCACTCGGCTCACTTGCTTATTACTACATATGTCCATGTAACTTCTTGAATTCAGCCTAAAGCATGACATCATAAGTTCAAAATCGCCTCTCAGCAAGTGATAATCATCATAAACTGCGAAAAATCGGTTAAATGGGTCATTAGCGACCCACTAAGACCACAAAATTGATTAATTAAATATAATGTTGTCAAACTTTTACAAATATTAGTATAAAAACATGTTATATCTTGGTCATTACTCCTGTACGTTGATTTAAATTTTCAAATCGATCAACTGGGTCAATAACGACCCACTCGGAAGTTGAACCACGACATTAATTATCAGTATCATGTTGTTCTA